TGAGTGAAGAGCCTCTTTGATTTCCCAGTGGTCAGCATTTAGGTTGTAAAGGTCTGAACTCAGCCTCTTGCCTTGTAGCCAGTACAAACCTTGAGGGGCCAGGGCCGACCTTGGGCTTGAGTCATCTTTTCTCTACCCTCTTGGTTGGTAGGAGGTTTCCAGGCAGCTGGAAACAAAATGGGCCGTGTCAGCAGTCTTCTGCTGCCTCCTCAGCACTCGAGTCAGGAGCCGGAGAGGGGAAGTGGGATGATGCCCCGTGTCTTCAGAGAGGGGCGGGGAGGCAGACAGGAGAGCAGGCTTTAAAAAAACAGAGTCCTCTGGGATCCTCTGATGGGTCCCGGGGCCACGGGGACTCCCACCGGCCTGTCCCAGCTCTGGGACTTCCCCTTGAAGCATATACACACGTGCTGCATGTTCCCCTGCCTCCTCAGGACAAAGATAGGGTCAGGTGTTACCTGAAGGTCAAGCCACACGGTGGTCAATCAGGAGTGGGTCCGGGTCCGAGCCGGGGGTTGTGGCTAGCCCAGTGCACCTGGGTGGCGGGGCTGTTAGGAAGCTGGCCTCCCAGCCTCCTCCGGGCAGGGGAACAGCGTGTATCCCAGGCGTCCCCAGCACAGCTAAGTGTGTGTGTCCTCAGGAAACAAGGCCAGTGACACCCCTGGGCTGGAGCAAACAGGGACTCGGGAGGTTTCCAGCTGGACTGTTCTCTCTGAGGGGAGGGAGGGGGAGGAAGGAGGCGGGTGGGGCTGGCCCACCCTGCTGAGCTTAGAGTCAGGTTTCCCCTGGGCTTCTGTCTCCTGCCCCCTGTATTCCTCTTCAGAGAGCGCCCCTGAAATGGCGAGGTGCAAGCAGGCTTTCCTTCTGCCCTTGCCCAGCATGCTCTCTAAAGCCTGTACATTCTGCACGTGTACGAAAAGACCAACTCCGCCTGTGCTCGCAGGCTGCTTTCCTGTGCCCAGCTCAGCAGAAGGCTTTTGAGTGCCAGAACCCCGGATGCAACAGTGGAGATATGTGGGGATGGCTTCCCAGCTCCTCCTTGCCTGGTAACACCACCTTCCCTCTTACAGCGGCCTTCCTCACACAGACTGTCTGCTTGGACGACACAACAGTCAAGTTTGAGATCTGGGACACAGCTGGACAGGAGCGGTATCACAGCCTTGCCCCCATGTACTATCGGGGGGCCCAGGCTGCCATCGTGGTCTACGACATCACCAACACAGTAAAGATTTTTCCCTTACTTCTCGATCCTTGTTTCTGGACGGGGTCTGGGCAGATTTCCTCCGTTGTTTGGGTGTCTCGCCAGATCCTTCAGGCTGGTGACCATGTGGACACCTGGCTCTGCCATCCGGAGCTTCTCTAGTGCGTGGCCGGGGCAGAATGCCTCCTCTGTCCCTTTGACATTCCGGCCCTGTTTCCCCAGGATACGTTTGCACGGGCCAAGAACTGGGTGAAGGAGTTACAGAGGCAGGCCAGTCCCAACATCGTCATCGCCCTGGCGGGTAACAAGGCAGACCTGGCCAACAAGAGAGCCGTGGAATTCCAGGTGTGGGGGCTGGACAGGACACGGGGGAGGAGTAAGCCAGCTGCATGGCTTTCCCCAGGCTACTCGGGTTTCAGGAAGGGTGACATTGGGAAGCAGCAGGGCTGCTTTTATCTGCTGTCCTCTGTGACTCGAGCCTGGGCTGAAAGGAATTGCCTCTCCTTGTTTCTTGGCAGTAGGGTATGTGTGCATATGGATAGCTAAAGTTTCTGCTTATTTTTCTGTAAACTTTTAAATGAAATTTACTGTAAAAGAAATACTTTTTTCACGTAATTCATGCACATAGTAAAATTTAAATAGTACAAGAAGGTATATAGAACTAAATTTGTCTCTAACCTAGAAACTCAGTCTCCCTTCCCCCAAGTTCCTCAGTTTCTGGTCTTTCCAGAAATATGTGCAATGTGTGCAAATCCCTTTTTACATAGATGGGGATGTGTTTTACATACTGTGTGTTTAATTTTTTTACCAGTCCCAAATTAAGGTTGTTTGTAATAGCAAAAGACTGGAAACAATGCTGTCAATATGTACATACTTCTGTGCTTTGTGGTTTTTTTAATGGATTTTTATTGATTTCAGAGAGGAAGGGAAAGGGAGAGATAGAAACATCAATGATGAGAGAGAATCATTGGCTGCCTCCTGCACTGGGTATTGAGCCCGCAACCCAGGCATGTGCCTTGACTGGGAATCGAACCGTGACCTCCTGATTCATGGGTGGACGCTCAACCACTGAGCCACGCCAGCTGGGCCATACTTCTTTGTTCAAATGTGCAACTGTATTTGTAGGGTAACTTTCTAGAAGTATTTCTTAGCCTAGTGATTTTAAAGAGCGAGAGGGTAGAATGGGCATAGGGACACCTGGTAAAACATCGGCCAATGTTTGTGAGCTGAGAGGTGCTGTATCTGAAGTGGGGAACGGTGTATGGTGCCCGTGTCTCAGAGGAACCCAGAGTGGAAGGCTACAGGCCTGAAAACCCTGCATTGTCTCTATTGTGTACAAGGCACTGTAACCAGGGAAGATTTTTTATTCTGGGCCCCAGCCCCTGCCAACTCAACATCCTCAACATTTTCCTCCCGCCCACTTTCTCACCTCCATCCAAATCAGGAAGCACAAGCCTATGCAGACGACAACAGTTTGCTGTTCATGGAGACATCAGCAAAGACAGCAATGAACGTGAATGAAATTTTCATGGCAATAGGTAAGGTGCCTCTCCTCTCCTTCTCTCATTGAGTTATAGCACTGGGCTGCTGTTCTGTAGTATGTCTGTGGAGTCCCTTCACCGACGGATCTTCTGCTGTTTTCAGTATTCTGATAAAATCTTTTTCTTTTTCATCTAACTCAGATATAGGTAGTTCATCCCAGAAGTTTCTAAAACTTGGCCTAAAGTCTCAACATTTCACTTCCTTACTGTTAAGCTTACCACCCACCTGAAACCTGATATCACTAGCCTACCCACTACTGAGGATTTTTTAGCCCATTTAGCTCTGAAGTCAACCTGCTTGGTTCAAGTTCTAGCTCTTCCACGTAGAACTCTGGTCTTCAGCAAGTCACTTAACCTCTCTTTGCCTCAGTTTCCTGGAACACTCAGCATGTACCTGTCACATAGAAGTGAAACCCTCAATATGCCGGATTCTGCTCAAGTGGACTTGGGAGACAGTGTTAGAGGACCCCCACAAACACATTTTTCCTTCTCTCCCAAACAGCTAAGAAGCTCCCCAAGAATGAGCCCCAGAATAAATGAAATTTTCATGGCAATAGCTAAGAAGCTCCCCAAGAATGAGCCCCAGAATGCAGCTGGTGCTCCGGACCGGAACTGAGGTGTGGACCTCCAGAGAACAACCCAGCCAGCCGGAGCCAGTGCTGCAGCAACTGAGCCCCCCTTGCCTGCCCACCGCCCCCACCTCCTCCGCCTGAACAACCTGACTGGAATCCACTCTAACCAATCGCACTTAACTACTCGGGCCACCAAGGGGGGAGGGAGCAGGGGGAGGGGGTCCACCATGATTTCTCCATATAATTTTGTTCATAGGCCGGAGTGAGTTATTCCACCTGCACCTTTCTGTAAAAATACTAATTCAATTTTAAGTCTTAGGTCACTTTTTTAATATATATGATCCCTTCCCACTACCTGCCCTTTCTGCTGTTCTCCCACTCTCCCTTCGTAACCACATGCTCCTGTTTCCCCCGCCCTTATATATGGGGAGGCAGGGGTTGGAGCAGTAACCCTTTTTCCTCTTGCTGATTAATCGGGCTCAGCAAGAGCATCCATATCCTTACTGTTTGGCGTGTGCTTGGTTCTGGGCCATGGGGCAGGCCCTAGGGGCTAGGGAAGGGAGAGACAGCTCTTCCCTTAGCTGGCTGGCTAGCATCAGGCTGCAGTCCCCCTTTCACCCCTGACACACAGCTGGGAGAGAAACCACAGCATTATTGTGACAGCCATGAACCCATTGCCTACAGCCCACCCCATCCCCCTCATCCTTGGTCACCCTGACCTCTGGCTCTGAGCCCTGTTCTGACCAAATCACGATGATGAGTATTTGGGGGTGGGTGGGTAAGGGGGGAGTGGGCGGGAATGGAACCAACTTTTTCTGTATTTTGTATTGTATGTTTTCTTCAACATGTAACCAATCAGTATCTTGTCAATATAGTCAGCCAATGGATTGACCTCCTGCTTGTCTTGTCTTTCTCTGGCAGAATTTATCAGGCTACATCCTCTCTAGCTTACTTGAAGTTAATTTAAAATGGACCATTGAATCTTGTTAAACAGAAGCTGACCCCTCACTCCCAGTGAGGTGGTACTGGTGTCTCGGTAACCAAGAAAAAGAGGCCCTTACTGTTATCCGTACTAATGGCATGGGAGTGAAGAGTGACCTGGAACTGAATCTCATCAAGTTTGAAGTTGCATTTTCCTCTCCCTGACCACTTCTAGAATATATTGGGGTGATTGTGCAGTCCAGATTTGAATGTATTTGGTCTCAAATCAAAACAACATGCACACACAAAAAACACACAAAAGAAAACAAAAATAGTTGGTCTCTGAAACACCAGAAACAAGCTCTTTGGGGTTTGGGGTTAATCTGTATCAGGACTGAGGGACTGGGTCCTCTACCCTCTTTCCTGAAGAGGAACACCAATGACCTGGAACTTTGGACTGATTGTAAGGCCGAGACAATAGCCTCACACCAGGTCCAAGCCATCTGGTCCGTGGTCTCTAGTAGGCCCCCTGCTGGTTCTGGAACTAGGGGACGCTTGGGCCCTCCTGGCTCCCTGCTGCTCCCTGCTGGCGCTGCTGCTCTCAGCCCCCAAGGGCTATCGGTCCAAACAGCCCTGCTGAGTAGGACCACACCGCACCCCCCATCTCCCAGCTTCTCCCAGCACCACCACTTGGAGGTGCCTTCCCCTACCTTCATCAAACTACCTCTGACCCCAACCCCAAGAAGAGACCACGGGCACTAAGGCTGCTGCTCACTATGGCGGTTGTTTTATTGGGTCAGGCTAAGTTGGAACCCTTAGGGCGGTGACTCTTGAGTTTCGAGGAGTGTCCCGTTTGGGCTTCAGCGGAAGGCAGCGCCCCGCACTGGCCTCGGATACACAGCTGGCCCGAGGGTGTTAAGCAGCAGGTCATGCCGGCGGGATCCAGGTTCGGCGGTAGTAGCATTTGGCGGTGCAACTTCTGCTCCATGCGGTAGCCGCTCCCATCTGAGCCGTAGCTCTCCTTTTGCCGCTGGCCCGTCACCGTCAGGCACTGGCCGTCCACTTGCACCACCAGCTCCTCCGGGTTGAAGCCCTGGGCATCCATCTTCACCTTGAAACCGTTCCCTACGTGGACATTGCTCCGCACAGCTGACACATCGTCCTCGAGCCGCTGGACCGGCAGCGTGGCCACCTGGCTCTTCCGCCCAGTGCGGGCTATGCTGGGAGACCGGGACGCCACCTGGCTCCCCTTGGGGGGACTGCTACCGACCCGCTGCATCCGAGTGAGCAACCGCTGTCCGAGGGCACGAGGCTCTGAGTCTAGTGCTCGGCGCTCTGCTCGCGCAGGGGCGGGACCCAAGAGCGGAGGGTCCTCCTGCGCCCCACCCAGCTCCGCTCCGGCTCCGCAGCTCTGCTCCGTTCAGCGTTCAGCGGGACGCCCTTCCCTTCTGCAGAGTCAGAGTTCAGGGTCCGCTGTGCACTTCCCACCTCCGCGGTCAGCTTGTCATTCGCCCTGGCACGCCCGCTGCTGCTTTTATCCTGGGTCCTTTCTTGGGCCCCTCCCACCTCCGTCACAGGGTCCAACTGGATATGATGGAGGAGGCCGGAGCCATTACCAATGGGCCCATTATCAGGGCAGGGTGGAGATGACATCGAGCCATCGGGACACGCCTTCCCAGACTGGAGTGTGAATACAGGGTAATCCATTTTCCATGTTCGGAACGTCCTGCCTTTCTCTGACGAGGCACAATCCTGTGACACACTGGAGACTGGGAGGTGGACACATCGCTCTGGCTTCCTCCATCCATCCTGGGCCTCCTGTGCTGCAGGTGTGGGCTGGGCTCAGGGACCACAACGGTTAAGATGCGGCCCTCAAGGTTCCCAGGATGTTGGAGGGCTGTTCCCAAACACAGGGGGAAACTCCCGCCCTCCTCGGCCTCTACTTCGTCCCCACCGTGGCAGCCTTGTCGTGACCGCGACCGTGCCTCTGGTACTCATCACTTTTATAATAAACCCTTTTTATGAAAGTATAAGGGACATACAGAAAAGTGCACAAAAGGGTACAGTTGCATGATCCCAACAGGTCAAGATATAGAACCGCTGCTGCTTAATCTCCGTGGCTGACGTCTGTCTCCGGAGACATGTGGGACAGGGACAGGGTAGGGGTGGGGGTGGGGGGGATGTGCGGGGCAGCCAACTCGACCTCAGTCCTTGGGCCTGCACTTCACCTGCGGGGCTTGGGAGGAGGGCAGAGCCCCCGAATCCCCCCACCAGATCCTCAAGAGGACAGCGATCTTAACAGCCCTGGAGGCCTTCAAGAGAGAGGAACAGTGAGGAGGAATCCATCTGGGGTGCTGGTTCGGGCCTCACTTGGCTGTCTGGGACCCAGAGACGGGATAGAAAAGTCTGGAAGGTGGAGGCGAAGGGAGCAGCGGTGGAAGACTACAACTCCCATCAAGCTCTGGGTCGGGGACGCCTGCGTACTGCGCGCCCGTTGCCCATGCGGCCCTAGGGCAGGGAGCGCCGC